TATGTTGTTGGCAAGAAGGTATGAAAAATGGAGATATTTTTGTTAAAGAGTAGATTTGTCCTAGAGCTGGTTGTTTCTGGATGGGGAAAGAATAAGGGACAAACTCATATGGATATAGGAAGTTGTGGAAGAGGAACCTTGAGAAAAGTTTTGTTCATGATCAGAACTGGGTAAGATTAGACTGAATTCAATCTAAGTAAATTAATTTTATTATTAAAAGTAAGCTGATAGGGCTTCCCTGGTGGCGTGGTGGTTAACAATCCGCCTGCCAATGCAGGGGACACTGGTTCGAGCCCTGGTCCAGGAAGATCCCACATGCCGTGGAGCAACTAAGCCTGTGTGCCACACCTACTGAGCCTGTGCTCTGGAGCCTGTGAGCCACAACTCCTGAAGCCCATGTGCCTAGAGCCTGTGCCCTGCAACGAGAAGCCACTGCAATGAGAAGCTGATGCGCTGCATCAAAAAGTAGCCCCCCATCGCCGCAACTAGAGAAAGCCTGCATGCAACGACGACGACCCAATGCAGCCAAAAAGAAATTTATTTTAAAAAGTATGTTATTTATTTAAGCTGATACAAGACTGGAGCTTTTTTTTTTTTTTTTTTTTTGCAGTACACGGGTCTCTCATTGTTGTGGCCTCTCCCGTTGCGGAGCACAGGCTCCAGACGCGCAGGCTCAGCGGCCATGGCTCACGGGCGTAGCCGCTCCGCGGTATGTGGGATCTTCCTGGACCAGGGCAAGAACCCATGTCCCCTGCATTGGCAGGTGGTCTCTGAACCACTGTGCCAACAGGGAAGCCCTGGAGTTTGCTTTTTTGTTATGAGACAGTGTTCTTGGAATATTGAGCTACTTTAAGTAAGACTGTCTTTTATTATTTTTTAATATTTTGTCCGCACCATGCGGCTTATGGGATCTCAGTTCCCTGACCAGGGATTGAGCCTGGACCACAGCACAGTGACAGTGCTGAATCCTAACCACTAGAACACCATGGAACTCCCAATAAGACTTTCTACGTGATCTGTTGTAACCTTCTGTATTTGCCTTTGAAATCTTCTCTGTCACTTTAGTTAAGTGAATACTTTCACAATACTTACGATTCTACTTGACCAAGTGTTTTAAAACTTTATTAAAAAAAAAACTTTATTGAAATATAGTTGATTTAGAGTGCTGTTAGTTTCAGGTGTACAGCAAAGTGATTCAGTTATATACGTGTGTGTATATATGTATGAATACGTGTATTCTTTTTTAGACTCTTTTCCATTATAGTTCTTACAAGGTATTTTTAAAAAATTATTTTTGGCTGCGTTGAGTCTTCTTTGTGGTGAGCGGGAGCTACTCTTCATTGTGGTGTGTAGGCTTCTCATTGCAGTGGCTTCTCTTGTTGTGGAGCATGGGCTCTAGGTGCATGGACTTCAGTAGTTTTGGCTCGTGGACTCTAGAGTGCAGGCTCAGTAGTTGTGGCGCATGGGCTTAGTTGCTCTGTGGCATGTGGGATTGTCCCGGACCAGGGCTTGAACCCCCGTCCCCTGCATTAGCAGGTGGATTCTTTTTTTTTTCTTTGAAATAGGATTTACTTTTTTTTTTCTTTCTTTCTTTCTTTTGGCTGTGTTGGGTCTTCGTTTCTGTGCGAGGGCTTTCTTTAGTTGTGGCAAGCGGGGGCCACTCTTCATCACGGTGCGCAGGCCTCTCGCTATCGCGGCCTCTCGTTGCGGAGCACAGGCTCCAGACGCGCAGGCTCAGTAGTTGTGGCGCACGGGCCTAGTTGCTCCGCGGCATGTGGGATCTTCCCAGACCAGGGCTTGGACCCGTGTCTCCTGCATTAGCAGGCAGATTCTCAACCACTGCGCCACCAGGGAAGCCCCTGGCAGGTGGATTCTTAACGACTGCACCACCAGAGAAGCCCCATTACAAGATATTGAGTACAGTTCCCTGTACTATACAGTAGGTCCTTGTTGGTTATCTATTTTATATTATAGATAGTAGTGTATATATTTTAAACTTCTAATGTATCCCCCCCCACTCCATTTCCCCTTTGGTAACCATACGTTTGTTTTCTATGTTTGAGTCTGTTTGTAAAATAAGTTCATTTGTAGGATTTTTTTAGATTCCACATATAAGCAGTATCATATATTTGTCTTTCTCTGACTTTAGTATAATAATCTCTAGGTCTATCCATGTTGCTGCAAATGGCATTATCTCATTCTTTTTTATGGCTAATATTCCACTGTGTATATATATACCATATCGTCTTTATCCATTCGTTTGTCCATGGACACTTAGGTTATTTCCATGTCTTGGCTATTGTGAATAGTGCTCCTATGAACATTAGAGTGTGTGTATCTTTTTGAATTAATTTCTCCAGGTCACCAGATCATATGGTAACTCTATTTAGTCTCTTTTAAGGAACCTCCATACTGTTCTCCATAGTGGCTGCACCAATTTACGTTCCTACCAACAGTGTAAGGCGTTTCCTTTTTCTCCACACCCTCTCCAGCATTTATTATTTGTAGACTTTTAAAAATTAATTAATTATGGCTCTGCGGGCTCTTCATTGCGGTGCACTGGCTTCTCTAGTTGTGGCACGCGGCCTTTAGAGGGCATGGGCTCTAGAGCGTGTGGGCTCAGTAGTTGCACCACAAGGGCTTAGTTGTGGTATGTGGGATCTTAGTGACCAGGGATGGAATCTGGGCCCCCTGCATTGGGCACATGGAGTCTTAACCCTGGACCACCAGGGAAATCCCTGTAGACTTCTTGATGATAGCCAATCTGACTGGTGTGAGGTGATACCTCATTATAGTTTTGACTTGCATTAATAATTAGTGATATTGAACATCTTTTATAATAATAATTAGTAATTAGTGATATTGAACATCTTTTCATGTACCTGTCGGCCACCTGTATGTCTTCTTTGGAGAAATGTCTATTTAAATCTTCTGCCCGTTTTTTGATTGGGTTGTTTTTTGGATATTGGGCTGTATGTATATTTTGGAAATTAAGCCCTTGTCAATCTCATCATTTGCAAATATTTTTTCCCATTCTGTAGGTTGTCTTTTCGTAAAGCTTTATTTTTTAAATATTTTCCTTATTTTTTTGGCTGCATTGGGTCTTAGTTGTGGCACATGGGATCTTTGTTGAGGAATATGGGATCTTTTTCGTTATGGCCCATGGTCTGCTTGCGTTTCTCTCTAGTTGTGGCACGCGGGCTCCAGAGTGCATGGGCTCTGTAGTACGTGGCACGCGGGTTCTCATTGAGGCACGCGAGCTCAATAGTTGCAGCACGTGGGATCTTAGTTTCCCAACCAGGGATGGAACCTGCGTCCCCGGCATTGGAAGGCAGATTCTTTACCACTGGACCACCAGGGGAGTCCCAGTAAAACTTTATTTTTGACAAACTTCCTCAAATCAAATTCTGAATTGAAGTTCTTTTGACCTCTAATTTGGGACCTTTCAAAGGCCCCTGAGGCATCTCAGAGAGAAAAATATTAAACTAATTCAGATTATTTGGTATGTTAAATTACACGAGAAGCACTATCAAATGAGTGGTGATAAAACCTTCTTAGGTGGGCTTCCCTGGTGGCGCAGTGGTTGAGAGTCCGCCTGCCGATGCGGGGGACGCAGGTTCGTGCCCCGGTCCGGGAAGATCCCACATGCCGTGGAGCGGCTGGGCCTGTGAGCCATGGCCGCTGAGCTTGCGCGTCCAGAGCTTGTGCTCTGCAGCGGGAGAGGCCACAACAGTGAGAGGCCCGCCGTACTGCAACAAACAAACAAAAACCTTCTTAGTTAATTTCTTAGGTAATACTGTATGGGTAAACATCATCAAGTGTTCTAAAAATTATATGAAGTTCCTAAAATTTGGAGATGTCCTGGTATTGTTATCAGTCTTAATTCTAGTTATCTGTAAAAGATTATATGTCACAGCAACTTGGTTAAGCTTCTTTGTCAATTGCATTGTAATCAGATCCTTAACTGTGCCTTTTCAAGTCTTCTGTCATTCACAGATATTTCACTCATGCTTTTGCAAAATCTTAAGATTCACAGAAAGGACCTTTTGGCAAGTAAAAGATTGATAACTTCCAGATCATACTGCTGAACTAGTTAAGAAATTCTAATGGAAACCCTGATTGTTTCATAAAACTGTTAACAAGATTAAGATCAAGATTAGTTACATAGTACTGAGTAAACTAATGAATATGGTTATGTTTTTGTCTGAAACACTGCTGGCTTTTAGTCTGTGTTTTCTAGACATAAGGAAACCTTTCCCTTTATAACAATTTGGTAAGTTTGACCTCTGTAAGTGGAATTAAAACATTTATCTTTTCTCTTGACCTGATCCCTCCAGGAGTTGGAAACTCAGAGTCCCAACAGCTTTATCAGCTGAATAAGGAAGGTCACCTCCTGGCAGGAGCAGCAATATTGAGATATTTTAGGAACCTTGAGAAGGGAGGAATTCTCTCATATCTACGGATACTGCAGGCAAAATCCGATGGCACGTTGTTGATGATTTTCCTGGCCTCAAGAGGTTTTTAAAAGTTCAATTGATATTCCTTAAGAAAAGGTCTAGCGCAGCCAACTGAAAGAGCCTATACGACCAGTTACACTTAGGTAAATCAGGCTGTTTACTGAAACTAGACTTAATTTGGCCCAATTTGGTAGAAAATGAGGATAAATTAGAGATTATGTTTTGATAATATACCTTTTGGACATTGAGGTTTTGTATATACTGAGGGTTTATTATCTACATCCAAGATGACCTTATTGCTATATTATAAAGTATTTTAATTAAGTTACTAAAGGAATATTCTAAGCTTGTTTCTGAAACTGATCATGGTAACCTATCTTTGGATGAAGATCAGATGCCCCATGACCCACAACCAGGAGATTATACGTACTGGAAAGGACATCACTTGTAAGGCTCCAACCTAAATGAAAGAGCCCCTTTCTCAGGTACTAAGTAGCTCATGCACAGTGAAACTGACTCTTGAATTAATATTTCCCACTCAAGGCCTTCTGTACTAGACTGGTCGATAGAAAGGACTGCTGACCTCAACACCCGCAAGAGAAAAAGACAACAGCAGTGGTAGACAGCGACCCAAGAATCTGGAGCAGGTCTGTTAAGATCCATCCTAATTCAATGGAACTGTTCACCAAATGTGTCTCCCTATCAAAATGGAAAGCTTTTGTTTTATTTCTAATATACTTCTGACTCCGATGTTCAGGATAGAAAGGAAATTCTCCAGCGAAGCTGAATAACTACTCACGATGTGTATCACTGCTTGCTACTGAAAGGTCTGCAAACAAAAAAGGGAAGATGATGGAGGAAACTTTCACGTATTGAGGTATGGAGAAGTCATTCTGGCTTATAAGGTAAGGCTGTTCTAGTTTATCAAACATACATTGTACATCTGCTTTAACCATTAAAGAATGCATTTAAAAAATCAGAATGAAGTAACTGTGGTTCAGGTATCCCAAATGGATCGGGGTGCCTAGTATGGACATGGTTTCAGACACACTCCTACATTACTGAGAACTTGAACGTTCTGAACTGTATCAGACTCAAGGACACTATCAGCTGCTATGAAACCTTTCTCTAGGAATGGTAACAAGCAAGACAGCTCCAGCTATAGCCTCCCAGCAGAAGGCACTAGATTCTTTAGGCAGAATAGTACTAGATACTAAAATTACTTTAAATTATATTTTGACAACAAAAAAGACAGTGCTTCATAACTCCTGTTATGTATATGTTAATACCCTTATAGAGTTAATTCGAAATCCTACTTACAGAATTTACATAAAAAGGACCCACTCTGAAACCTATCTTCCTGGCTGCCATCTGTAACAGGAAGACTTCTGGGGTATGTAGTACACGGGTGCATTTCGATCATTATCCTCATTATAATATGTCTACTAATTTTCAAATGTTTGTCCAGGTGCTGTGACAAAGCAGTCAGAGAGCGAGGTAATGTTTTATAATACAGAATATTGATGCTAAGCAACTTGAGAATTCTTTAAAAATGAAAAGTCAGGGACTCGGGACTTCCCTCGTGGTCCACTGACTAAGACTCCGTGCTCCCAATGCAGGGAACTAGATCACACATGCTGTGACTAAGACCCGGTGCAGACAAATAAACATATTAAAAAAGTCAGTGACTCACTCCTCTAATCCTGAAAAAGGTTGTTGCCTCTCTTCCCCTCAGGCTTGAGGTGTATCAAAGAAAGAGGCTGACTAAAACCAAACAGGACCCTGTGGGCCTTCCTAGAGAAAGACCCCCCGCCATGTCCCCTGTTTTAGCCTCCCAGGCCTTCCCTGAGTTCCAAAGAGCAAATTTAATTAGAAGAAAATGCAGAAACAAAGGAAAGCAGTCAACTAAGGCAAAATAATTTAGCCATAAAACAAAGTCAAGGACCTTTAGTGCCTCAAGGGCTATAACTAGTATCCTGAGCCATGCCCTTGAGTTGTTTTGCAGATATCAAGACCCCCACCAGGTAAAAGAAGTTAACTGCATGCTGACTACCAGCGTGTAGACCCCAGACTGGTTGGAACCAAAAGGCTGAGATTCCCAAAACATCACCCAATTATTCACCATTAACCAATCAGAACTGTATGAGCTGATTGCCCATCCTGTGACCTCTCCCTCAGTCTTCAAAAGCCCTTCTCTGAAAGCCACTGGGGAGTTTGGGTCTTTTGAGCACGAGCTGCCCATTCTCCTTGCTTGGCACCCTGCAAAAAAACTGGGTTGTGATAACAGAAAGTACAATGTTAGTTGCTGAGCGTTGGGTGACCTGATCCAAGTTTCTGGTTGGTAACAGAAATACTAAGAGTCATTCAACCTAAGGTACTAATAACCCCCTAAATATCATCAGAAACCATTGGAGGACGTTTTCCTCCTGAACATCATCTTCTGACATCTAGTAAAGGTAAAAACAACTCTCCAGTCTGGCACCCTCTCATCTGTCTAGTCATTTGCCCACCTGTCCAGCACATATGTGCTTTGGTATCTCATTGAGCTCTTGGCCAGGGGCACTGGGCAGATGCAGGGAGTGCCTCCAGTGTGAGAGACTCACTGAAGTGTGTGTCGTAACTCTTACTTTGAATCTGGGGAGAGAGAAAGAAACCAACAGTTCAAAGATAGGAGGGCTTCCCTGGTGGCGCAGTGGTTGGGAGTCCGCCTGCTGATGCAGGGGACACGGGTTCGTGCCCCGGTCCGGGAAGATCCCACATGCCGTGGAGTGGCTGGGCCCGTGAGCCATGGCCGCTGAGCCTGCGCATCCGGAGCCTGTGCTCCGCAACGGGAGAGGCCGCAACAGTGAGAGGCCCACGTACTGCAAAAAAAAAAAAAGAGAGGAGGACACAAAACTAACCAGCCAGTCCCCAATGAAAGACAAACACGGCTTTCAAGATGTACAGTTAGGGTGTGTGCTAATTTATTATGGCTGACTTGCCATTTCAGCTTCCTGGGAAAGAAAAATTCCTGTGACTTGAACTGCGGAAAGACAGAAGTTATCACAGATGTCACATGGCTCAGGGTGGAGCCAAGGAAATCAAGAAAAGTAAGATGTTTCTTAGTTTCCCTTCACTCAAAACCACTATTTTCCTAATTCTATCAAACTCCATAAAAGGCACAAAATAGAGCTAGAAACTTGGAAATATCCAAAAAGTGAGCAAAGGCTCTAAAATTAGAGACCATCCCTGTTCCTCCTGTTGGCCCAAAAAGACACCCTCAGTCACCTCCCATTTTCTGTTTAGATCCCCTCTTAACTCCAGATGAAAATGCAGCTTTTGGCCAATGCATCTGCTTCCCCTGCAGTGCAGCTAGGATCCCCCAGGCCATCTCCTCTGCTCCAGCCCAGGCTGGATTCTCTCCCTGCTTATTTTCTACTCACCAGTTGTTTTTCCGAAGTTCCTCTCACACGTTAAGGTCCTCTCTTCTGGCTCAGCCTCAGTTAAGTCCCACATCTCCCTCTGCACATGTGTGCTGGGAGGGAGCATGTGTTCTGGGGTGCAGTCTGCACTCTCCGTTGAAGGAAATGGAGGTCATGTGCCCTGCAGTGAGTTAGCTCCACGGCCAAGGCCATTTCCTTCAACGAGTCTGGGAACAGGCCCCATCCCTCTCATGTCCTTTCACAGCCTTCTCTACAGTTTCTGTAATTAACATTCACAGGTCAGAACAAAACCTGGAGTTTTTCTGTTCTTTACTAAATAAACATTCGCTTCACAGAAACCAGCCCCAAACTCATCAGTGTCCAATTATGTGAGAACAGGCCCCAGGGGGACCAGGTCATACATTTCCCCCCTTGCAGCGAGAACATTAACGAACCCTGCCTGGCAGTGCCCTCGAGTGTCCAGGAGACGGTCCTCTCTCCCACAGGCCCAGTCCTGCCAACACGGGGGCTGTGAGCCCTTAGGGTGGACTCCTACTTGCTTCTATCCAGTGAGGCTTTGGGAGGGAAACTGAGCTGAAACAGAGATTGCTCCCTTCCCCTTGAGGCCTGTGGAGGATTTTCTGGGGTCCCGGTCACAGAGCGGGCCAGGCTCCAGACAGCTGCCGTGGCCAACCTCGTCATCGCCCCATGATGAAACTGGGCTCGTCCTCCTCCTCTGTTCCAGATGCCGCCTCAGAGCCACTGGATGACTGCTCCTGGGACTGACTGGATCCTGTAATCACACGACATTTGGATTAGAGAGGTACAAATCTTCGAGTATCCCCTGATTAGCAAATCAAGGGGTACTCCAAGAAAGGACTGCTGAGGAAAACCCAGGAACCAGCTGTTCCTGGACTGTACAGGGAGGAGCCAGAGAGGTCCTCATGTCCATCAGTCCCCAGTGCCACTCCCGGGTATAAAGGGCCAGTCACAGAACTGACCTACCACTGCTGGAGGATGGGCCTCATCCTTATGAAAAGGTCCAGCACACATGAGATCCTGACGCCCAGTAAATCAGGCCTCACTGCTTTTTATATGATCCCCCCAAAGTCTGTCACCTTGGCAGGGCGACGTCCACAGCAGCCCTTTAACATTTAGCGCTAGGCTGACAACACTCCTGCTGACGTCTCCAGCTCTCACCCCAGTCTGCAAAAGGAGTCTCAAAAACCTTGTAGCAGAGGGCTCTGCCTACAACAGATATGTCAGCTTCCCGGCTCTTCCCACAGACGCAGAACGCCTCTCTGACACTCCCCGTGCAGCTCTGAATCCCACTGTCTTCCCTGGCGGTCTGCCAGTCTACCCTCAGTGCAGCTGAGCTGGCTAAGAGCAGAGCACAAAGACTACTTGTTCCCAACTCCTCCTCCCCTCTTCTCGGGAGCAGGGCAGCAGGCGAGAGCTGGGACGAGCCAGAGCCCACACCAGTCCTCCGGCTCCCCGTCCACGCCAGGAGGCCACTTGCAGGCACCGTGGGCCTCCTCCTGCAGACATGCAGAAACCCACAGGCACCCAGAGCTTTGCTACTGCTGTTGTCACAGGGCCGAAGAGCTTCAAGGCCTGGGGGTGCCCAGGGCACAGCACAGTCACCTGCATACCCTAGGATGGGACACTAAAGAACACTCATGGCAAGGGGTTGACATCATCTCTATGATTCAATTATTTAGGACTTTCCTCCATCTTAACCTCATGCCAAAAAGAACGAGAAATTTTGAAAGTACAAATGAGGAGCACGTTTTAGTAGCTAAGATTTGTTGAACATCTATTATGTGCCAGGCACTGTGCTTATTGTCTTTGCATATACGTACCGTCTTAACTCTAAACAACAGTCTATGAGATAAGTAACACTCCTCTATATCCATTTTACAGATGAGGAATAAAGCTCAGAGAGGTTAAGTAATTTGTTAACCAAGGTCTCATAACCAGTAAAACCAGGACCGAGGATTCAAACCTGGACTATCTGACTTTCAAGCCTCTGGTACCTTGCCTGCAGAAATGCATAAGGAAATGGAGGCAAAAGAAAAACGGCATGACAGCCATAGAAAAGAATGAAATAATGCCATCCACAGCAACATGGATGGACCTAGAGATTGTCATACTAAGTGAAGTCAGACAAAGACAAATACTATATGGTATCACTTATACGTGGAATCTAAAAAAAATGATACAAATGAACTTATTTACAAAACAAACAGACTTCAAAAACAAACTTATGGTTACCAAAAGGGAAGGGGGGGAGGGATAAGTTAGGAGGCTGGGATTAACATATACACACTACTATATATAAAACAGATAATCAACAAGAACCTACTATATAGCACAGGGAACTCTACTCAATCCTCTGTAATAACCTATATGGGAAACGAATCTGAAAAAGAATAGATATATGTATAACTGAATCACTTTGCTGTACACCTGAAACTAACAACGTTGTAAATCAACTATACTCCAATATAAAAAAGAAAAATGAAGTGAAAACAGGAATGAGGTGGGCCTACTGAATGGATAAGGAAAATGTGGTCTCTTCATACAGTGCAATGATTCAGCCTTTAAAAGGAAAAAAATTCTGACACAGGCTACAACATGGATGAACCCTGAGAACATTATGCTGAGTGAAACAGGCCAGTCACAGAATGACAAATACTATATGATCCCTCTTATAGGAGGTATTTAGAGTACCCAAATTCAGAGACAAAGTAGAAGGGGTGGTTGCTGGTGCTGGGAGGAGCAGGAAGTGGGGAGTTGTTGTTTGAAAGATATAGTTTTTGTTTTACAAGATGAAAAGAGTTATGGGAATAGATGATGATGATGGTCGCACAATTTATATTTAGTGCCCCTGAACTGTACACTTAAAAATGGTTAAGATGATGAATTCTGCGTTATGTGTATTTTACCAAAATTTTAAAAAAAGGAGGGGAAGAAAGAAAAAAAAGAGAGAGAGGGAAGGGAGGGAGGAAGGGAGGGAGGGAGGGAGGGAATGCTATGCAGAGACTGAGTGAAAAACTATAGATGGATCAAAAACATAGCTCTGAGCTCCCTGAACTCCTAGGGCAGAACTCCCTAAGCGCTCTCATGTCATGGCACTCATGGAAAAGGACAGTATTTCTATGGCATGTGGGGCAACGGTCCAAGGCCATGGGCACTCAGTTTCCACCCTGAAGGCAAGGGGAGCCATGTGTAGTCCATTCCCCATATACCAGCGGGGGAGCTCTGCTCTAGAACCTGGGCTCCAAGGCTGAAACTGCTGCGTACTTGTTTTGTTCCATAACTTAGTCATACTTGGTCAGCCTGAAGCCTCTCTAAGGACCACCCGCCATATCCATAGAGATCTGAACACAGCAGGACAAAAGCATAGGCTTTGATCTTTCATTCTGATCTTAAAGAGACAGTAAAACAGGAGGCATCTTTGAGCTCACCGAGTAGACATCAAGAGCAAGGCTCCCCCTCCTGAGTGGAAGAAATTTGTGGAGAAGTTATCACTAAAATTAAGTGGTGGCAGACATGTCCAAGGAATATTGTGGGGCTCTGATCCCTTTATGAATCTTGTGATAGTTGAATGTGTGGAGGTGGAAACTAGTGGGCAACAGAATACTGGAGTGTTGGTAACACGAGGAAACAGTATCATCATGTTAGAAGCCCTGGAACCAGTATGAACAATGGCTGTGTTCAGCAGAGAAATCAACTGCTTCCACATGTCCCCTCCACATTTTACTATGATAAACACTGGCTCGTGTACATTTTATTACTGAACATTTTTATTAAATAAACTTTTGTAATAGGGGAAAAATACTCATTAACCTGGATGTTTATGGAATGGGGTGTTCCGGATGCCTGAAGTGCTGACTGATAGAGGAGGACTCAAAGCACTCCTCGTGACTGAAAAGCTCCTGAAAATGTAATACCTCAATTAATAGTACACAATTGTTTCCTGTGTGTCGGGTGTTGGGGCCTGGAAGTATCTCTCTCAAAGAGGAGAAACCTAGGAATCTGCTGCACATTCAAGTAACTTGGTAATTCAACAAAATCATTTCATTCTCCAATGAAAAGAAATAGGACTTAGAGAAAAAGCGGATTCTAGGTTAGGGACAGGAAATACACAAGACAAGTCTGGACTATCTTGTAGTACCAGAAACTAAGGAAGTGCTGTTAAAAACAAAACAAAACCCCTCGAAACACCAATAATGGGGGTACGTAAAAGGCACACGGGCCAGAAAGAGCTCCCAATGGCCAAAGCTGGAAGAGTTTGGGCAAGAAAATGAAGTAGTACTGGATTAAACCTAAAATATAAAATAAACAGCCCAGAGTCCATACTGATATAAAGAAATGAGGGAGAAGACAAATCCATGCAGAACAATTTCAAATAGCTTCTGTAGCTACTCCGCCCTCATGGAGGGGCTGTATAACCCGCCACGCCTTAAGCATGGGCTACGCATAGTGAATTCTTTCCGAAGAGTACAGCGTGGTAAGGGGAAGAAAAGAGTCACTTTACACACAGAACCCTGAAGAGCACTGCCTGAGCAGGTGATCAAGGGCAACATCAACTGTGACAAGCCATCCTGACAAGCACCCAGCCCTGACATAAGAATGGTACTTTATCTCTGTGGTCTTCCTCCCAAAAATAAATAACTCATGAGAAAAACGTCAGACAAATCCCACTGAGGGACATTCTACAGAACATCTGACCCTCAAAACTCTCAAGGTCATCAAAACAAAGTCTGAGAAACTGTCAGCGCTAACAGGAGCCCAAGGCTACATGATGACTAAATGTAATGTGATATCCTACGTGGGATTCTGCAACAAGAAAAAGGCATTAGTTAAAAATTAAGGAAATGTAAATAAAGTATGGACTTTAGCTGCTCCATGTATCAACATTGGTTCATTAGCTACAGAGGAAACTGGGTATATGGGACTTCTTTGTACTATACTATCTTCGTAATATTTCAGTAAATCTAAAATCATTCTACAACACAGTTTATTTTAAAAAAGACACTGCCTACCCTCATGGAACTGAGACTGCAACTGAATAGATAAGCACGTTATGTGATTCAGCAGATTCTGCAACCAAATATGTGCAAAACCCTGTGGAGCAAGGTGGAGGCTGGGTGGGGAGGGCGGCTAGAAAAGGCTTTACAAAGAGAGGAGGGTGCAAGATGAGAAGTTTTCCAAGCAGATGGGGAGTTGGGTAGCATGAAAACGAAAAGAACTCAGAGGCCTGAGCACAAGGAGAGGTGGGAGAACAGAGATGTTAAGCTTGGTGAGAATAGAGGACACGTGCAAGGGAGTGGCCAGAACAAAATAGTGGAGAGACCAGAAAGGGCAGGAATGCAGGAGCTACTGGCTAGGTTTCAAGCAGGATCACCTCGCAGGTAAGCACAAGGCCCGTGGAGACACATTATCTGGGATCAAATCCCGGCCTGTCACTCACTCCCGCTAGCTCTACGGGTGCCATTGCCACTTGGTCCCTAAGGTCAACTGTAAAATGGGGATAACGTCACTGCCTATCTCACAGGGACGCTGTGAGGATTATGTTAGCTAATACCTGCAAAGCACCTTAGAACTGGGGCTACACAATCAATGTTCAATAAGTGCTAAGTATTGTTATTGTACAAGCAGAAGAATGAATGACAATCCAACCTCTGTTTTAAAAAGAGCTTTGGAGGCTGTTCAAGGTGGGCGGCGTCGGAGGGGGTGGGAAGAGAGTGGAGGCTGCTACCATAGTCCTGACACATCTGGAGATATAGACATATACTGACTGACTGGCTGTGCCGGGTCTTAGTTGCAGCATGTGGACTTCTTAGCTGCGGCATGCATGTGGGATCTAGTTCCCCGACCAGGGATCGAACCTGGGTCCCTGCATTGGGAGCACGGAGTCTTACCCACTGGACCACCAGGGAAGTCCCCTGGATCTATATTTTTGTAAGGTTTTTTACTAAGTCCTCAATGAGACCTTGACTTCCTCTGAAATCATTCTTATCCATGTGGAGGAATACAGCAAGGATATGGTAAAAGTGTACACCATTGCACACTGCTGATGGCAGTAAAAACTGGTACTACTCCTTTGGTGAGAAACTGCCACTACTCCTCTGGAAAGAAACTGGCAATACATTTCAAGGGCCAGGAACTCTTTTTACACTCTGTGATCTAATTATTCCCACTGCTGGAAATTTATCTCAAGAAAATGACCCAGAAAGGGGGAAGGGAGACAGGTGCATAAATTCACTAAAATATCTTTTAAAGAGAAAAACTGGAATCAATCTAATGTCTAACAAAAGGGAAAATGTTAGATGTATCATGGTGTGTCAATTGCTGGATATTATCAGTCACTTAAAAAATTATGAAGGACCAGAAATGCTTATAATGTTAAATAAAAACAAGCAAAGGGGAAACTGTTCATACACTACAATTGTCATTACATACAAATGACATGTGCATATGGAGAGATTAAAAGAAAATGGACAGAAAGAAAGGTGATCTATGAGGATGGTAATATTTGAGCTTTTTCCATTACTCTTATGCTACTGTTTACATAAAATTTTAAAATCTAAGAATCTGAGATTTTATTTAGACTATAGGAATACTAGGTAAAATGCCACTGAGTGTAATTGAAACTGATGTTAACTTTAAAAAAAAAAAAAACCAGATGAATGGGGACTTCCCTGGTGGTCCAGTGGTAAAGAAGCTGCCATCCAATGCAGGGGATGTGGGTTCGATCCCTGGTCAGGAAACTAGGTTCCTATATGCCGCGGGGCAGTTAAGTCTGCACACCGCAACTACTGAGCTCACGCGCCTCAACTAGAGAGCCTGCGTGCCACAAACTACAGAGCCCATATGCTCTCGTGCCCACGCGCCACAACTGTAGACCCATGCATCCTGGAGCCTGTGCACTACAACTACAGAAGAGAAGACCTACACGCCACAACTAGAGAAGCCTTCGCACCACAATGAAGAGCCCACACCACATTGAAAGATCCCGCATGCCGCAAATGAGACTTGGACAAAAAAATAACAAAGCAAAAACAAACAAACAGATGAATGAATACACTAGGGAACATAAATACTTTTGTATTATGGAATTGCAAGGACATGGGAAAATATTTGTGATACAGTGTTATATGAAAAAGTAGGAC